TATGGGGCTGTTAATGAGTCAAATTGAGTATTTAAATAATATATTTAAATATTATTTAAAAAATTTAAATTCATATGACGATTAATAATATTTCGCGTGACAATCAATGCAAAAAAAGTGAGTTATGTCTCCTTGGGGAGTACCTGGTGCCGTATGAGGTCTCTTTCATTACACAAAATAGCCAATGCTGAATTGATGGAATGACCTTAAGTCATCTGGTAGGAAAAATCATTTATAAACAATTTTTTGGAGTTTTTTTAATTAATTTTTTAGCATCTAAAAATTATATTAAGTTTTGATTAATTTAAAAATAAACCATATCAAATGCTATAAAAAAAAATTCTTCTAATATATATTTTTTTATTTATAAAATTTAAATTTAAAATTTTATTTAAAAAAAACTAAACTCAACAAATTGTTCATCTTTTAGAGTCTTTTCTTTTACCTAAAGATATTGCTTTACAACTACAAATTGTTAATAACCTACTACATAAAACACATACAGCTACGAAAATCCTAACTACAAGCATTAAAAAAGTAGCTATAGTATAATAGTAGCTATGAGATATGTACTCCGTAGCTACTAATAATTTGGCAGCAACAAATGCTGACATGGTGAAGCTAATATATATTTTTTGTTTCAACTTTTACTCACAAATGCTGACATGGTGAAGTTTAAACTAAACCCATCAGATGACAATCAGTCCTCCAATTTGCGAGCATTTGAAAGCGAGATTCGTGCTTTAGTAGGCATACAACATCGTAACATTGTCAAGTTGTATGGTTTTTGTTTTAATGCAGAGTATTCATTCTTGATCTATGAGTTTGTAGAAAAAGGGAGCTTGACGACAGTTTTGAGCAACCCAGAAGAAGCGGCGGACTTGGATTGGGATAAGAGATTTAACATTGTTAAAGGGTTAACGAGTGCTTTATCCTACATGCACCATGATTGCCCTTCACCAATAATCCATCGTGACATTTCTAGCAACAATGTTTTGTTAGATTTGGATTATGAAGCTCATGTCCCAAACTTTGGCACAGCTAGGGTTTTGAAGCCAGATTCCTCTAACTGGACATCCTTTGCAGGCACAGTTGGCTACACAGCTCCAGGTATTTCATTCATTTGATATCTTCTAATTAATAAACTCTAGTAATTATTATATTATTTAATAACTAACTAGACTTGCTTCTGCAGAGCTTGCTTACACGATGCAAGTAAGTGAAAAATGTGATGTCTATAGTTTTGGGGTGGTAACAATGGAGATAATTATGGGAAGGCATCCAAGTGACTTATTTCAGATTTATTGTTGTAAATTTTAATTAAAAATTGATTTGCAAATTTAATAAGCATGCGTTTCTCAAAGGAAAAATAAATGAAATGTTTATTGCAACCGTTATATATTCATTGTGCAATGATTTTGATTTAATTAGTCATTTAAATTAATATTTATATTTCGGTTACAATTCAAAAGTCTATAAATAAGTAACCCTCCATTTGTGTTATAGGTTGTTACATAAAAAAAAAATATTGCACTCTTATTCTCTGTTGGGCAAGGAAAGGTGATGGTGTGGAGCTTGCTTTACAAGGGTGCAATACTTGTAAAGTCACAACAAAGAATGTTGGGCTGTTGTATCTTGGGGGGGCCGTGACCATATAAAACTGCTGCACTAATGGCACAAAACATCCTAAAAAAAGAACAATGCTAATATGCTGGAATGCAAAGAAGGAAGCCAAGAAACAACATTTATATATAGCAGATATGAAGATTAAAGTTTGAGGAACAACAATTTTAGGACGTGTCATATTTTCTTCACAACGTCTTGCAGTACTTCGATGCTCTCCTTTTTTACATTCTTTGTTGGGATTCCAAATTTTTCATGGTATATAAACCTTCTTCTCTAAATAAATTTGGTATGGAATAGCGATTCACGATCAGCTACCAAATGTTGTGAAAGAGCAAAGTTAGCAGACAGCACCAAGCAATTTTAATGCTCCAGCCTTCAGGTGATATTCAATTGCAATTATTCATTTTGAAATTGGTAAGGTTGATTAATGCAATTATATTATTATATATGGTCGGTTACAGAGAATGAAGAAGCATTTACATGCAAATTAAGAGTTTTTTTAGCATGAAATTTTGATACTAGCTAACCGAATGCTTTTATGGCATATTATTCTCTAATTATTAATTAGTGTGTTAAGAGATGGATACTAGAAATATTTTTCTCTTCTTATTTTGGTGGAGATTATTAATTTGTATGCATGTTATGAGTAATTATTAGATGAAACTATTTTCTACTTGGCAAGCTATTTGATTACTTATAGGTTTATGTAAGCAATAGCAGGGGAAGGAATACAAATGTGGTTGACATAGAGATGAAAGACTTCTATAAACTCAAACATGTTTCTCATTTCTCAAAGGCTTGCCTATTTGGTGCACTCCTATTATACATTAAAGGTATAATGGTGCAATATGAAATTGAGAAATGAATGATTTAAAAAAAAAAAAATGCAAGAACCATGAAATGCTTGTGTGTTATGGGACATATTCATGAGACATTCTTATTATACAAAGAGGTACAATAGTGTCAAAATTGAGATCCCCTAAGAGCTTAATTGATGTTCATGGTATCATAGTTAAAACAATTGGGATTATATATTCCAAGTTTGTGAATGGACAAATGTCCGACTTTGGTAAATAAAAAAAAGGTGGCATTTTAGCTCAATATTTGTGAAATGGGATAATAGATTGATCTATGAACAAAAATGTGTGAATCTTGAGAAATTATAATATCCCATATATGAGCTAATGTGGGTTGATATCATTACAAATAAGGTTGATTTTTATTACCCACTATTACACTACCAACTAGGCTTTTGGCAAAAACGAAAGTTGGAGAAAAATCTATGATCATAGTCCAAGGTCTAGTGCTCATCGAGGGGAATGGGATTCGAGCCCAATAATGTAGAACTTCCTATGAAGATACCCAACTCAAATTTTGAGAATTGAGTTTTGAATGGGAAAAACGAATTATAGAGAAGTTGTTGTTGAAAGATGCATCAATATTTAACGAAAAATTTTTCGATCCCATTCCTAAGGTGAAGATGCATCTATCCCATAACGAATTGAGGGTTGAGTTATATACTCTTAATGAAATTTGTAGCTCATTGCGTGGGGTGTCTTAGTTATGGGAGCACTCTTGACAAATTTCACCTATATGGATGTTGGAGTGGGGCTGCTCCTATGAGAATTGGGTTATTCTCTAAATCATCCATGAATACCAGGATTTGGCACAAAGGCTGTAATGTGCCGGCTTATTAAGCTCAAATTGACACTTGGACTTTTATGTGTGTGATGTGGTCTCCTATATCCTCAAATAGTCATAATTCAAGACTTTGTTCACTAGAGACTATGGAATAGGAATCACTAACTCACTAAATAGAGGTTCAAGGCATTGCTACCTCTATTATGCATAATAGTTTGCCCTTGCCTAAATTCTCCATCTTCTGAAATCTTTTCTTTTTAATTAAAATGGAGGGGGAATGTTGTAAATTTTAATTAAAAATTGATTTGCAAATTTAATGAGCATGCGTTTCTCAAAGGAAAAATAAATGAAATGTTTATTGCAACTGTTATATATTCATTGTGCAATGATTTTGATTTAATTAGTCATTTAAATTAATATTTATATTTCGGTTATAATTTAAAAGTCTATAAATAAGTAACCCTCCAGTTGTGTTATAGGCTGTTACATAAAAAAAATATATTGCACTCTTATTCTCTGTTGGGCAAGGAAAGGTGATGGTGTGGAACTTGCTTTACAAGGGTGCAGTACTTGTAAAGTCACAACAAAACATGTTGGGCTGTTGTATCCTGAGGCGATGTGACCATATAAAACTGCTACACCAGTGGCACGAAACGTCCTAAAAAAAGAACAATGCTGATATGCTGGAATGCAAAGAAGGAAGCCAAGAAACAACATTTATATATAGCAGATATGAAGATTAAAGTTTGAGGAACAACATTTATGGACACCAAATGGCCAGCAGATGTGCTGAAGGATGTCATAGACCAATGCCTTAAACCTCAAAGGAGGAATAAGGTGGATGAACAAGTGGTTGCTACCACAAAGCTAGCATTTACATGTTTGCATTCCAATCCTCAATTTCGCCCCACTATGCAGCAAGTTTATCAGGCCCTTACAAGTGGTCGACCATCTCCATTGCCAAAGCCATATTCAATGATAAGTTTGGGAGATTTGATTGGAGATGGACATGGGATGCAGGGCTGAGTTGCTTGGATATTTATCATAATTCTAGGTATGTGTCACTTGTATTTATCTTTTCTAGTCTACCTTCTCTCTCAACAAAAACAATTTTTATTCTTTGTGTTCTACTCTTTGTGATAAATTTTTGAATTTGTTTGCTTTGGCTTTTATTGATGCTATTTTGCCGGCATAAGGGACTATTATATAACAATATGATAGGCTTTGAGATCTAATAAAGAATTTGAAGAAATTAATGTGGATGTGTTATCAAGCTTTCTATCTACATTCAACCTGAAGATGAATGAGACCACTTTTTTCCAATAAATTAATAATGTAGTTAAGTAGCACGCTGTGTGGATTATTGCACTCTTTTGTGTGTTGTAACTTCTTAAGGTTTTTTTTTTTTTGAAAAATAATTTACTAGTGTACGTTTGTTGCTATTGTCAGCATTGGATGGTCTATGTATTCATTTGCCATAAGTTATATCAGTTGATGTAAATTTATTTTCACTAAACTTTATGGCTTTAGTGTTGGGGTTCATTATTAATACAACTCCCCCTTGTTTTAAATTCTCTTGATGTACCCTCTTTTTTTCAAATCTCTCACAACTCAACTTACATTTGAATTTAAGATTTTCAACCTAAAATTTCATATTCTTAACTAGTTAAATCAGGTATATAGCAAAGTGTTGAGCTCTTATAATCAAGTAAAAATGGCAATGCCACAATAAATATTATGTCAAATTGTATATTATATAATATAATGAGATATTAAATAAATTAATATCTATAATCCATTAAATATTAAAAATATGTAACATTTCCCCTTGGTAAATAACCATGAGAGGCTACACCACCAAAATAGTCCAAAAATGAATTTTTTTACACTCTTCTAAACTTTTTATAATGTGTTAAAATACTAATAAAAGAATACCTTCACTAAGAAGATAATCATCAAAAGATTATACACTATCACATAAACAAATATTGCATAATTTAACATCGAACTCTTCTAACAGTTTTGACTTATTTAAGTGATCCAATGTAGCTTATATTTGCTGGCGCCTTCATACCAAAGTAAGCATGTGCAATTTTCCTCAAATGATCCATTACAATTAAACTTCACGTTTAAATTCAAAAATAAACAATCGTTGATCACCACTCGCCATTTCAACATCACATCCTCATCGATGTCACGGAGTTTCAAATTATGCATTTCTTCAATTACTACATAGAAAAATGTGTATGCAACTAGAATTGTAGTACTGCAGAAGGTAGTATTTGCCAAGGTTGTAAATCTCATGCCGTACCAATCAAATCCATATGTACCGATTTTGACACAAAATCGATACATAAATCTTCTAATATTGTATCACCTTCAATCTTGGGCATGTCAATTGAAAATGGTTGTACCAGCCAGAATATTGTGGAACAGATTTTCAGTCAGCACATGTCTATACCCACTTTCACGCTAAATGATAAAAAAAAAAACAGATATATGAATTTTTCACACCAAGAAAAAAAAAAACATAATCAGATATGGAATCCACGCTGCTTGGAAACTTGCCAATGAAGAGATTGCTGGTTTTTGAGGAAGTTCCCTCTACCTCTTGTACTCAAGTGTTTAATTTGTTTCTAGAGTCTAGATCAAAAACCTATATTTGGAGAAAGAATTAAAAAAAAAAAAGTAAAAGAAAGTAGAAATTGAGCAGGCAGTGAAAAAGGATTTTTTTTTTTTTTTCACTTTAGATTTAGAATGTAATGGAAATTAAAGGAGAAATTTGAAAAAAGAAAGTTTGATCGAAATCTATGGCGACATTGGAGTCGTTGGACGATAGGAAGAAACGAAAGAAGAGTGAGATTGGGGGGTAAAATTTTTTTTATAGAAAAAAAAAAAAGAGAAAATGGCTACCTGCTTGTGAAATTGTAATTAACTTTTGAATTGGATTTTATATTGTTATAAAATATTTAAGAAAGCTCATATATTTTATTTAAAAAATAAAAGCTTCAACACAATTTTAGAGTCAAGCTGTTACAATTATTATGTACATTTTTTATATTCATTAATTTTTTCTAAAAGAAAAAATCATTACAAAGTCATCTTTATAATTTATATAATCTATATTTATATTTATTTATTTATAACAATAAATCTAAAATGATAGCTAATATAATTCAATACAGTTTACGTACATGTTAATAACAAAACCAATATATATCCCACTACAAGATTGACAACCTTGTTGTTTGCTGTAAGATTATTACTAATCCCATAAGCAATATAATCCAAATAAGATGGCACAATGGGTTTGAATAACACACTTCCTTTCCATTCCTCATCCAAGCATTCGAAGTCTGAAAGCATGGCTCTCTTCACCATGGTTGTCTTACAATGAACTACAATGTGAAATTTGCAATCGATCATTTAGGGAAAATTGTTCATGATTATTTAGTAGGCACTGGGATATGAAGAATTCAAAGAAAGACAACCCATAATTTTGCAATTAGAAACTCAGATAAATAATTTGAAGAAACTACAAGAAATTTGAAAAATGTGAGGAAATGCCTTAATAGACAACAATTGTAGCTGTGAGGTATAACATTTTCATACTGATGACTATCTTCGCAAAGGTACTTTTTGCAACATTTATTTTTGTCAAATTGTATATAGCATTGTTTTACTTGTTAAAATCAACTAATCGTTAGGTGCCACCCCTTGTTGATTGGTTCAAGGAGACTATCAAATGTATATTGCTTCTAATAATCCACTTGCTACAAAGGCACGGTATTCAAATATACCCTCAATCTTTATACACTTATTTATTTGATAAAGAGTGAGAAATGAAAACATGTGATTAAACATCTTAACGTTTTAAATGCTAAGATGTTACAATTTTTTCCTTTTCCTTAACAATAACACGTAAAAATTAATTATGATTTATGAAGGATTGAGGAAAGCCTGCCAATTGCTCAATTCTCTAAAAATAAAAAACTTTTCTCATCAATAACTTATTGATTTCTGTAGAAATAATTTATCGTGTCTTAAATAAAGTTTTGAATTCAAGTTTTATAAATAAAGAGACAAATATTAAGAGAGCTTCCCTTATAAAATTTGGCATGGTTGGCTTTAAAGAGACAAATACTAAGAAAGTTTTTCTTATAAAATTTAACGTGATTCATTTTTAAATTAATTAAAATCCAATAAAATTTTTAGGATAATCGAAAAAAAAAAAAAGAAAGGAGCTTTGCTTACTTTTTTGCTTGCTGCGGGTTCGAACCTAAGTAAGATGTTTTCGGTTGAGAAATAATAATAATAATAATAATAATAATGATAAGTCCAGTTTTAACCAAAAACTTGCCCTTCCCCCAAATTAACCATGTTCAAGGCACCCTGGCAGCTATAAACACTTGCCATGGTGGTAAACCTCTCTAGAGCTTCGGGATCGATTCGATAAATGTGTTCGACATTTCAATTAGGATTCAACAATTTCATCAATTTTACCAGGTTCTGCCCTTTTCTTTTCTTTACATAGTTTTCCTACTACGAAGATTTCTTAGAAATTTCTCGGATTTTTCAATTTATTATTATTATTTTTTTTTGGAAAAATCCCATTGTTGAAGTAAGTAGATTGAGATTAAAAGTGAAAATGCTGTGTAGTTTTGTAGTGAAAGCAAGGAGTTTGAGAACTAGGGCATTTTCCCCTTTGGCAGTCGGAGTAATGGGGTCTAAGAGGCTCCTTTCAAACTCATCCGTGTCAGCTTCATCTACTGTTGAGGGAAAGACAGATAAGAAGCTCAAGGGATTAGCTACTGCAGACCTAAATTCTGATGAGGGTGAAGTTAAGGTTGTTGATTGCTTTGGTTATTTCTACTAACCTTACTGTTGATTTTCTATGCTTTGTAGGTTTTTGGATGGTGTGTGGTTTTTAATTGTTTCGGGTTTTGGTGGATTGTAGGGGAATGGCGGGAAAGGTAAAGTGGTTGAACAGGGCAAGAATGATAATAAAGAACAAGGTTTGGCGGGTACCAATCAAAATTCCAAAGAGGGTGTTTTTAAGGTTGTTGATGATCTCACTTATAATTGCCATATCAAAAATTTTCTGCTCTCATGCTTTTATAAGAATGTGGTTTAAATGTAGGGCGTGTGAAATTCAGGACATCATGAATGATCCTGGAAGAATCAATGCAATGACAGTTCAACAACTCAAGGCTGCATTGCGGTATGTACAAATTTTGAGGATAAACATAAAAAGAGATATATGAATTCTGTTTTAGGTGTTTGTGTTCTC